GAAGGGGTGCAGGGGGCTCCAGCATGGTGGGGGGATGGGGCAGGGGGAGGGCAGGCAGTCTGACCCCTTCCGAGCCCTTCAGCCGCCGAGGCAGAGGCGACGAAGAGCAGCAGGCAGCAGCAGCAGCCCAGGGCGAGGTGCGCGGGGCCGGCGCCCAGGAGCGCTAGCGGGGGGCCCATGGCTGGGGCTGGGGGCGCGGGCCGCCTCCTCTTCAACCCCTCCTCGCCGTCTACCCGCTTCTCCACCGCGAAGGAAGTGAAGTCGGACGGATGTGGGCGGTGCCCGCGGTCTGGGCTCTTAAAGGAGCAGAAAGCCGCGTCCGGGGCGGGGCCTGGGCGGGGGCGGGGCCTGGGCGGGGGCGGGACCTGGGCCGGGGGCGGGGCCTGGTCCAGGCGCTTGGCACGTGCAGTCAGGCCCCGGGAGGCCTCTGTCCCTCTAGGTCCCCCTTTACTCCTGATACCACGGGTTCTTTGTTGTTTCCTCTGGCGCTTACTGAGCGCCCAGAGTGCGCGTGCCAAAAGAAATATGAGACAACCCCTGCCCTCTAAGAGTTTACATTCCACCGTGCCTCGTCTTTGTAGCCTGTAGCGGAGGAGATGCTGCTGGAAGGCACCCGGGGTGGTGGGGCCATGGGGGGAGAGTATATCTATCAATCAATAAACACTTATTAAGCACTTACCCATAGGGCATAGAATAAGGCCTGGAGTCAGAAGACTTATCTTCCTGAGTTCAAATGTGACCTCAGGAACTTCCTAGCTGTGTGACCCTGAGCCAGTCACTTCACCCTGTTTGCCTCAGTTTCCTTGTGTGTAAAATGAGCTGGAGAAAGAAATGGCAAACCGACTCAAAAAACCAGGGAAGGCGCCTACAATTTGCCAGGCACTGTGCTACGCAATAGGGATACAAAGAAGAGGCAAAAGATAGTCCCTGCCCCAAGGGGCTTACAATCTAAGGAGGGAGAGAACAGTAAAACAAATATATGCAACATCTTATTGTAGACACTATATACAATGAAATAAAGAGTAACTCTATAAATACTTCCCCAGCTGCAAAGCATCTTCAAGCTGGCCGGGACAGGTTCTCCAGGGCTGGCTCTGGTCCGCTCTGGGACACTGAGCAAGCCATTTCCACTCAGGCCTCAGCTTCCTCCTCTGTCCAATGAGGAGGTTGGATTAGCTTGGGTGCCTTCCAGTTCTGACACATGTGGGTTGCTGTGCAGAGGAGAAGCTGAGGTCCAGAGCAGATGGGCTTGCCTCAGAATCAAAGGAAATGGTAGAGAGGAGTCCCTTCAGCCATGCTGGACTTCAAATCACCTATAACTTACAGTCTTGGAAAGATCCCCTGGGGCACTGACAGAGCGTGTTATGTGTCCAGGGTCACCGAGCCAATCTGTGTCAGAGGCTGTTGTCATTGAACCCTGGTCTTCCTGACTCCAAGGCCAGCCCCCTTTCCACTAAGCCTGGGCTAAACCCCAGCCTCCCCTGGTCACCCCCATTACACTTTAAACTCCTTAAACCTGAAAGGGATAATTTGTTACTGGGTTGGGGAACTCCCTTCAAAGGCAAATTGGCACAAGGAAGACCCGAGGTATGGCATGGGGGCAGCTACGTAGCACAGTGCCAGGCCTGGGGTCAGGAAGACTCAACATCCTGAGTTCAAATCTGCCCTCAGACACCCTGGGCAAATCACTTCACCCTGTTTGCCTCAGTTTCCTCATCTGTAAAATGAGCTGGGGAAGGAAATGGCAAACCACTCCAGTATCTCTGCCAAGAAAACCCCAAGTGGGGTCACAGAAAGTTGGACATGACTGGAAAAAAAAAACTGAACAACAAAAACAACAAAATTGAAGGTTTACAATGCCCTTTACATGTAATTTCTCCTTTGGGTCTTATAACAGCTCTGTGAGGAAGGTGCCATGGTTATAATTCTCATTTTACAGATGAGGAAACTGAGTCACAGGGAGGTGAAACAGAGTGGAGTTCTTGTTTATACAGCACGTTAACATACATTCAATCATTTGGTCTTGCTTCGCTTTACTGGTATACTGTCTTCTCTCAGCCTGCCCTTCACCCCACCTCCCTTCCCTTGCAAACCAGATTCTAGGCTCTGGTCAACTCCTTGAGTCACTAAATGAGACTGAACAAACCAGTTTGGGGCAATAATTCTCCTCACCCCAGTGGGAATGAGCCTTCACCCTGGGCTGTGGCTGTGAAAATCTGTCTCCCCTTGTCTTCAGGGTATCCCAATCTAAATCACAGTTTTCGTTCCATCATCGTTCTGCCAATTCTTTTCCCACACACCCTCCCTGCCATACAGACCCTCGCCTCCACCCCCACGTATATTAACAAGGACATCTAGCATCTGCCTGGGAGGATGGATGATAATACTTATAACAACTCCCATTTTGAGGTACACAAAGTGCCTTTCCTAACAGCAACACTAAGAGACAGGAAGTGCATGGAAAGCCCTGGGGCTCATGGAAAGCCCAACTGATCAACTGAACTGAGGTTGGACATCTGGGTTCTTATCCCAGCTCCACTACTTTCTACTTTTTTTTTTTAAGTTTTCAACATTCACTTCCATAAGATTTTCAGTTTTAAATTTTCTCCTCCTCCCATTTCTCTCCCCCTCCCCCCATGGTGAACAATCCGACATAGGCTCTACATATACATTCATGTTAAGCATATTTTCCCATTAGTCATGATGTAAAGAACAATTAGAACTAATGAGAGGATCCACAAGAATGAAGCAACAAAACAAAACAACAAAGGAAAAGGAGAGCAAATAGTCTGCTTCCATCTGCATTCAGACTCCATGGTTCTTTCTCTGGGTGTGGATAGTCATTTCCATCATGGATCTTTTGTAGTTGTCTTAGATCCTTGCGTTGCTGTGAAGAGTCAAGTCTATTAAAGTCAGTCATCCCATAATGTGGCTGTTACTGAGTACAATGTTTTCCTGGTTTTGTTCATTTCACTCTGCATCAGTTCATGTAAATCTTTCCAAGTTTTTTTTTTTTTTAATTCTGCCTGCTCATCATTTCTTATAGCACAATAGTATTCCATTACACTCATATACCACACCTTGTTCAGCCATTCCCCAACTGATGGGCTTTTCCTCAATTTCCAATTCTTTGCCACCACAAAAAAGAGCTGCTATAAATATTTTTCCACATTGGGTCCTTTTCCCATTTTTATGATCTCTTTGGGATAAGCTCGGCTACTTTCTAGCTGTGCCTCCTTGGGTGAGTCATTTTTCTTACTTTTTCTGAGCCTTGGTTTCCTCTTCTATAAAATACATATTGGTTGAATTGAATTGACCTATTTTGGGGTTTGGGGGATGAACTAGGCTATTTGGGCTACTTGTTAGAGGTTACTCGTTAGAAACGAACAGGCGATCGGATTCTTCTGTCTGTTTTTCCCATTCTTTGGAAATAAATATTTTCTGTATGGACTATTTTGTGAGGTCAGCAAACACATCAAAGAAAATGAAAGTCCAGAGTTCTACCCTTCAGATACAAAGATAGAAACTACACAGCCTCTATGACCAAGTAGGACTAAGGAGAGGCAGGGTTCTAATGATGTGGGACTGTAGAGACAATTCAGTTCTCCAGATAGTAGTGAATGATCTTCAGATAGTCACTGAAGCTTTTGGGGTATCATTTTCCTCCTCTGTAAAATGAGGGAGTTGTATCAATTAGAAATGGCCAAACAAATTAGGGTATAAGAATGTGATGAACTGTTTCTGCACACCAAAAATGACTGAGGTAAGAAATTCAGAGAAACATGAGAAGAAAAGAATTATGAACTGATGCAGAGTGAAGTCAATCAATCAATCAATATTTGTTCGGTGCCTGCTATGTGCCAGGCACTGTACTAAGGGCTGGGGCTACAAAAAGAGACAAAAGGCAGTCTCTGCCATCAAGGAGCTTGCAATCCAAAGGGGAAGACGACAAGCAAGTAATATATACAAAACATGCTACATACAGGATATATATACATGTGCATATAGGTACACATACACACAAGATAAATAAGAGATCATTAACAGAGAGAAAGCACTAGAATTAAGAGAGGTTGGGAAAGGCTTCCGGTAAAAGATGGTACTTTAGTTGGAAGGAAGTCAGTTGAGGAAAGAGAACATCCACGGGAGACAGCAGGAGAAGATTCCCAGAGCTAAGAGATGCAGTGTCCTATTTGTTGAACAGCAAAGAGGTCAGTGTCCCTGGATGGCACCTGTTGGGAAGCAGGATGTAAGGACACTGGTAGGTGGGGACTAGGTTTATGGAGGGCTTTAAACGCCAGACAGAGCATTCTATATTTGATCTTGGAGGCAACAGAGAGCGACTGAAGTTTATTGAGAAGGTAGGTGACGTGGTCAGACCTGAGCTGTAGGAGGTGGAATCAGGAAAACATTATTGACAATGACATTAATGTAAATGGGAAAAAAAAATTTAAATTATAGAACGCTGTGTAATTAGAATGACTAAGCTTGTCCCTGAGGCAGCTAGGTGGCACAGGGAATAGAGTAGCAGTTTGCAGTCAAGAAGAATCATCTTCATGAATTCAAATCTGCCTTCAGACACTGAGTAGCTGTGTGACCCTGGGTAAGTCACTTCACTTTGCCTCAGTTTCTTCATCTGTAAAATGAGCTGGAGAAAGAAATGGCAAAGCACTCCAGTATCTTTGCCAAAAAAATCTCAAGTAGGGTCATAAAGAGTTGGACACACTGAAAAAGACAGAACAGCAAAAAGCTTGTCCCTTAAGAAAATAGAAAAAAATGTACATCTGTCCCTTCTCTGCAGACATGAAGGACCATTGGTATGAAACATTACCTATGCTCTACATACTCATGAATACACGTTGCATAAATTGTTTCCCTTGAGTGTAAGCTCCTCGAGGGCAAGCACTTTTTCTGCACCAACTTTTAGCACCGTGCCTGGACATAGCAGGCACCTAATTAGACGCTCAATAAAGGGCTGCTTGAGTCGGAAATCTGGGACCTGAGTTAGACGGTGGTTTTCTGGAAGTAGGCGCCTAATAAACGCTCTTGAATTTATTTAAAGGTCGCCTAAAACTAAATGTGTTGCTTTTAAACCGACCCACGTCCTCCGGATTCCTTCCTCTGGATTGCACAACGACAAGTGTATCCATAACTCGCCGTTTCCTCACACACACACTGGAGAGGTTGCTCCCCAGTCCCGTGACAATGCCCTAGGAAAGTCCAGGATGCCAAACAAAAACTCGCTCACTGCCCGCTCCCAGACGCCCTAGCGAGGAACACAATGTACTCCGATGGGGACTACAGTTCCCAGCATGCAAGGCGCGCCTCCGAACCCACCGCCTCGCGATTGGACCCGAGGGTTCGGCCGCCCCCCTCCAGCGGGCGCGTATGGCCATTGGCTGCTCGGGGGGCCGGGAGATGGGCCGGGCGGTGTCATGTGTCCGCGCTCCCGCGGCCGCCGCCTCCTTTCTCTGCCTCCGCTGCGACCGCCATCTTGCTGCCGCCGCGTGTTGCCGTCGGAGGAAGCCCGCGCCTTGGCTCCAGGTAAAGCGGCGGCTGCCGGAGCCTCGCTCCCGGCGCCCCCGGTGCGCGAGCCCTGGAGGGCGCGGCTGCCCAGGTTGCCCAGGCGGAGCAGGGGAGGGGGGAGCCCGGCAGTTGGAAGGGGAGACTGAGGCAGGCCCTCCTCGGGTCCTCTCTGAGCCTCGGGCTCCTTCTCTGCCAAAGGAGGCCTGGGCTTCCGCCGACCCAGAAGACTGGGATCCTGGAGGGGTTTCTCCTGGGCCTCGGTTTCCTTCTTTGTCAAGTGAAGGCCTGGGACTCCCCGGACTCCGAGGTCCCGGCCAGTTTACTTCTGTCAGAGCGGGTATGGGCTTCCTCCGTCCTGGGAGGAGCCTCCCTCGGCCTCACTTGAGAGCCTAGGACCCGTGGCCCTGGAGGGTCCTGCCAGTTACCGAGCTAGGGTCCCGTGGGCTTCTCCTGGGCCTCAGTTTCCTCTTCTGCAAAGTTAATGGAGGGTCTTGTCGGGTCCCTCCCAGCCCCAGATAGAATGAGTTCTCCCTGGCCTCAGTTCCCTCATCTGTAAAGGCTCCTCTAGACCTCAGAGGGCTCCTTGCCTTCGAGAGTGAATGGTGCCCAAGGTGGCCAGGCTGGGCTGTCATCTTGCCCCAAATATTTATTTGAATGCTGTGTTTACCATTGGGTCAGTTTCCTCTGCAAAATGAGCAGGGCTCTCACTGCCTGCCTGCTGATCCCCAACCAGAACCAGGGTAAGAGGCCAAGCTGAAGGTCGCTTCTTCTAGGGCTCTGGGCAGCTCTCTGAGGCTGTCCGTCAAAGGCAAGGTGCTGATCTGCCTCGAGAGAAACTTCTCCCTGGAATTCCCGGGTCCAGGCCCTGTCTAAGACATACACAAGTGGTTACGGTGTTTGGTGATAATAATAGCTCCAGCGCCTGTTTGTTTGGGGTTTGCAGGATGCTTACCTCACGATAGGGCTTGCAAGGATGATCACCTTTGCCAGGTGAAGGAAAGCAGACCCGGAGGTGACTCAGCCCAGGAAGCATCTCCAGGAGGGAGCAGAGCTGAGGCTCTGAACCCTGGTCTTTGTCTCCAGGTTGAGTGCACTTTCCTCCAGGATGCTCCACTTCCCCTTTGAGGAGTAGCGGGAGAAGAATTTGGGGAAGCCTAGACTCTTCAAAGAGTCTACGGAGCCAGGGAGACCTTTGAGATTATCTGGGGACCCCTTTCTTTCTGTAAGGGAGGAAAGTGGAGCTGGGAGAGAGCGAGTGGCCTGATTCAGATCCCACAGGTTGTACTGTGTCGGTCGGGAGTGTGACCAGTTCTGACTCCCAGACCAGACCCACTGGATTGCCTACTACGCCGCCCTGCCAGTACAGCCAGGGCCTGTTCTTATGATGGACTCCAGGCAGGCTGCTTGGAGATCTTGCACTGCCTTAAATAATGTACATTTCCTTCCTTGGGGGGGGGATTCTTGTTGGGGGTGAATTGGACTACATGACCTCTGCAGGGCCGGGTGGGGAAGCCTGGCTTCTCCAGGCCTTAGTCCTTGAAGGGCTGGGCCTGGAGGGAAGAGGAGGAGGAAGAGGGCTGATCTGGCCCTGAGGCTGCCGACAACTTGCCAGTGACCTTGGAGAGTTCACTCCTTGTGTTCCATCCTGCCGTGAGTGGGCTGCGGGGGGGCTTCACCTCATAGTAGCCCTCATCAGTGCTGTTCAGATAAGGGTCCCAGGGCCTGCACGTGTCTGAGATGTTAGGTTTCTGGATGGTCTGGAAGGCCTTTATTCTCATTCTGACATTCTGAGCCTGGACTCCCACCCTCCAAGCCCTGAGCTTGGGATCCCCATTCTCCTGCCTTGTTGTTTTTGTTAGTTTGTTTGTTTTGCTAGGCAGTGGGGTTAAGTGACTTACCCAGGATCACGCAGCTAGTGAGTGTTATATATCTGAGGCTGGATTTGAACCCAGGTCCTCCTGACTCCAGGGCCGTTGCTCTATCCATTGCTGGCTCATCTGCCTGGTTCTTTTTGAGGGGTCCAGGGAACCTCTTTCCACACCCTTTCCCATTCCTCCCTATTTCCTCTCCCAAATAGCCTTCTTTCCTCCATGATGCTTCCTTCTTAGGTGGAAAGGTCTCTTCTTTGAAACTCAGTGGGGTGGACTCTGGCAGTTTGGTTGGAGAGGTTTTTGTGTTGGTAGTAGTTTTTGTTTTCAGCAAACCAGGCCTCCACCTTAACCCTCTTCATTTTATGGCTATTGTATGTGCCAAGATTAAGTTGCGCTTATGTCACCTTGCATCCTCTTGACAGTCTGGTAAGGTAGGAACAGGCACCATCCACCCCGTCGATGGTGCAGCCAGCACCCCAGGAAGTGACAGCTTCTGATGGCAGGGTCAGCGGGTGCTTCTTCCACCAGACAGCCAGCAGTGCCAGGCCCAGGCCCAGCTCAATTTACGTGGCACCTTTGCCAGGTATTGCAGGTGCTGTGCCCCCTTCATTTCTGTAGAGAAATTTCTCTGGATAGAAATGTTTCATTCAATTCAGCAAACAGTGGGTACCTACTACTTACCAGCAGTCTCATGCACCGGTCCTGCCCTCATGGAGCTTGAACTCTGACAGAGATGATCAGGCACACAAATAAGTGTGGTACAGAATAGAGTAGTGAGGACAGAGTGAGGAGGGGTAATAGAAAAAAACCATCCTGGGAATGAGAGATCACTTGGGGAAGTAGGAGGGGGTCCTAATACTGATACTGAAGCCTTCGTGGAGGTGGTGGCACTTGGACCATCAAGGGACAGAGTGATCTTGACAAGATGGATGTGGGGTGGACATGGGAAAGAGGGCAGGAAAATTGGGACTAACCGGAAGGGACTATTCCAGTCTGGTGCCCAGAATTCCCTGAGTGGTGTTGACTGAAATAGGGGATAGGTGAGGCCAGGCTGTGGAAGGCCTTCAGGCCCAAGCTGAGGCTCTTGTGTGTCCTGTGACTAGCGAGTTCATGTAGGATTTTGGACCTCAGTGCCATGGTCACACCTGTGCATGTAGAGATGTTATGGAGGCCTTGGGAAGGATGGCTTGGAAAGGGAAGGAGCTGAAGGCCAGGAGACCACTGTGGAGGACGGTGCAGTAGAACCCAGGGTAGTGGCAGGGTTGGGCCTCTGGGCCCTCTTTAGTTCTCTAGCCAGGTTCCTTCCTCCATAAGCAGTGGGGCCACTTTATTCTGTGCCAGCGCATTCAGGGCTCAGGTTGAGGAATGATAAAGTGTAAACTCTCCCTGACTTGTGGGCATATGTTTCACCTTGGGCACCAGTCAGGACTCACTTTTTTGTGCCCCAGTGTGCTGTCATTACCCAGAGAGGGCTTGAGAGTGAGAGCTTGTGTGAGTGCATGCATGCCTAACATTGCCTCATTTGTTTGGTAACATGGATATGAGCTGCCGAAGGGTTGTAGCCTGGAAATCACCAAGAAGCACGTGGCACAGGCACCCTCACTCCTGGTGGCCAGTCAGGGAGACCAGGGTTCCATTCTGCTTCCCACACTAAATGACCCTGTTCATAAAGGTCTCAGCCTCACCTTCTTCATCTGTGAAATGGAGATAATAATACCTACCTCACAAAGACGTTTAGAGAGCCAAATGAGATAATGTGTGTCAATATGTAACAAAATTTAAAGCAATATATACATTTGAGTTATTACCTAGTCTACTATATTTTAAGGGGAAGAAATCAGCTGAGAGTATGGACGTGACTTAGCTGAGGTCACACAGGTTAAGACTTCTGGTTGCAAAGCTGGTGTCATTTCCATCTTACCAGGCTGTGGTTGTGAAATGCATTGAGATCTAGTCCTGAAAGCTTGAAATCAAATGCAAATTAGCAGTAATTGTGATCCCTCCTTCCCCCTTGTTATTGTACTGTGCCCAGAACCTAGAAGATGAGTGACTTTTAAACAACTGCATTTTATGCATTTAGGTAAAAGATAACAATATCTTGTAAACTTAAAAAACACTTTAAAAATTGAGTAAAAATATTCATTTAATAAATATTTTCTTAAATGCCTGGCTTATTCCCACCATCCACCCCCTCCACTCCTACTCACATTCTGCTGAATGGCACTGAAGTAAATCACCCACTGAGCCCACTGGGGCTGCTACAACAACAGCACTTCTCTGTCTCCCACTTCTGCCCTGACTGTCCCCCCCCCCCAATCCTAAAACGCTGTGCGCTCTCCCCTGCTGGTGGGCAGCTCTTCTGCCAGCTTCCCTGGCCTCCTTCAAGAGTCACCTGCAAGAGGCCTTTTTGGGTCCCTGACCTAGCAATGGCTTTCCTTTCCAGATTAATTTCCATTTACTTGGTGTCTATGTTGCATGGGTCTAGATATTTGCATGTTGTCCCCCCCCCATTATTATGTGAGTTCCGGGACTGTTTTTGCTTTTTCTTTGTGTCCCCAGCACTTAGTTCCTGGCACATGGTAAGCGCTTAATAAATGCTTATAGATTGACTATTCTCAACTGGGCCCTCACTGCAGCCTGGCAATGCTTTTTCTCATCCCTACTTCTTTGTCCCGCTCCCCACCAGGTTGTTCTTAACCTCCTTTCTCAAGCCTCCCACACCACTACCACTTACCCTTTCAGCTAAGGAAAGCAGGCTTTCCTGGGGAAAAAACAAAAAACAAAAAAAAACCCAGCTCATTTGTTGTGAGCTACTGCTTCTTTGCATCTCGCAAGCCCCTTGACACCATCCTCCGTTTTTTACTTCAGCTGTTGATGAAGAGGGATGCTTCTCTCCAAGCCTTTAGAATGTACCCTTGATTCTGTTTGCTCTTCTAGATTGCCCCCACCCTCATCCCCCTTTTTTCTCTCTAATCTTTAGTCTCTTCCTCTCTATTGGTCTTTCCTTGTTGCCTATGAATGTATCCAGGTCTCCCCCAGACTTACCATACTGTCATCAGACCTGTGATTCCCTCCAGTTACTCACCTGTATCTGTCTGCCTTTCCTAGCCAAACTCCTAGAAAAAGCTGTCTATACTTGTAGCCTCCACTTATGTATCGCTCCTTACCCCATTCTTACTTCATTATTCAACTGAAAGAGCTCTCTGCAAAGCTACCAGGGCCCTCTTGGTTACCAGATATGGAAGTGGTCTTGTCTTCAGGCTTCATGGTTGACAGTTCACAGTTGGCCCCCTTCTCCTCCCAGTGCCAAGCACAGTGATGGGCCCGTGTGAAAGCTTCCTACGTAGTGACTCCCTTCCCTTGGTTTCCTTGGTTCCATGTCATTCTGCCTATGGTGGCATACCCCAAAGCTCTGTCCTGGGGTTTGATACATCTCTGTACACATGTTTCCAAGGTCTCAGGACCCATCTCTGATCTCTTCTGAGCTCCAGTCCCATATCACCAACTGGGTGTCCCATTGGTATCTCAGCCTCAACTTGCCCAAAACACTTTGGGATTTTCCCCTCCAAACCTGCCCCCTTTCCAAATTTCCCTGTTCTTCCAGCAGTGCCCCCATCCTCCAGGCTCCCAGGCACCCCGGCTGACGAGCTCAGTAACCTTCCAGGCTCTTTACTCATTCAGTTGTTGCCAGATCTTGTCATTTCTGCCTCTCCATCTTCTCTCTTCTGTGCCCTGACCCTCATCACCTCTCACCTAGACTCTAGTGGCCTCCTGATTGGTCTAAACTCTCTCCCCACTTCATTCCATCCTCCTCTCAGCTGCTGATTTTTGTAAAGCACAGGTCTGATCATGCCACTTACTGTACTCAGTAAAATATAAACTGCTCTGTTTGGCCTTAAAACAGACCCAGCCTACCCTTCTGACATTATATACACTTTAACACACTTAGCCAGATTGGCCTCCTCCCTGTTCTTCACACATGACACGCCATCTCCCAAGGCTGTCTCAGTGCCTTGGGCACTGGCTGTGCCTCATGCTTAGAATACCCACTCTCCTCATCTCTGCCTTTTAGAATCTCTCAATTCAGCTCATATGCCTCTTCCTAGCCCCTTTCCAGTCTTTCCTGAGCCCCCGCCTCCATCCTGCCCAGGTGCCCGGTGCTGTCCCCATCACCTTGTATTTATTTTGTGTTTATCTAGGTGCTTACGTCACATCTTCCTTGATAGAATGTAAGCTAGGGAGGGCAGAAACAATTTCATTTTGATCTCTGCGTTCCCAGTGCCTAGCACAGTGCCTGGTACCTAGTGTTGATTGTATGCAGAACACTGTTGTAGACAGCGGGGCCCCAAAGACAGAGCTAATACTGGTCTTGGATGCTCTGCTTGGGTACTGGGATTGTAGATGAGTTAGTCCAAGATCATGTGAGAAAGGAGGAGAGCCCAATGACGGCGGTGGGGGGGGGTGTCGGGGTGTCAGGGATTCGTACCTTTGTAGTCAGGCCTGTGGTTTACCAAACCCAAGGTTGGCTGATTGGCTGCCTTCTCTTTTTGTGCCTTAAAAAGAACAGAAAGCTAGAGAATGGCATGTCCTTTTGTAGTGACAGCCTGTTCCTCCACAGTCTACTAGTGGTGTGGAGATTAGGGTCAAGGAAAATGCTGCGTGGGAAAGTGCTTGGGACACCAGAAAATAAGGAGCCTGTGAGGGCGGCCTTGAGAGAACTTTGTGGAGGCTTGGGCCTCTCCCTCTCATTGATACTCATTTCATCATCTCATCTTGGACAAAGACTTCCTTATTTTGTGGCTACTTCTTTCAGTGCTTGGAAATCCAGCCATTCATCATATCTGATCTCAGCCCAGGTGGCTTTTTGTGTTTACATGGATGGCCCTTTAAAAAAGAGTAGGAAATAGTTTGAGAGTATGGACTGTTTTTGAGGTTTTTCCTTATTAATGCATTTTGTAGTAGATAATCGGCTCGGTTCAAAAAATCCTTGCCTAAACACCAACACCAACTGGCTGTGAGGATTTATTTCATCATTATTGAAGCCAAAGAAGGGACTAATGTTGTTTCTCTGGAGGTGCCTCAGAATTGGTGACTTTGCCAGCATCTTGGGTTTTTTCTGCTTCTAGAACTCCTTTTCGGGATCATTTTAATCTATATCCTTACTATGTACAGTGGGCAGGAAGATCCCTCTATGGCTGATCCGTCCCCTGACTCTTCCCTGTCTCTTAGTAGATGGGCTTTGTGAGTGGCCACTAAGTGGGCAGCTTTCTGGGCTCATCCCCTCAAGTCTCTCTGAGCTTCGTCAGGCTGGTTTTAAGACCTTAAGCCTCCTTCTCCAAGTCTGAGCAGCTTGGTATAGGAGCTTCTGGAGCTGGCATGCAGTGGATCTTGTCTCCACCCTGATGGGATGGGGGTGAGAACTCCAGGGGCCTGGGGGTTTGGGGGCAGGGTTCCTATTTTGCTAGAGCTCACTAAGATTTGCAAGAGACTTGAAACCATCTACTTCTTTTCTAGATCTGCCAGCAGCATGAATCAAGAGAAGTTAGCCAAGCTTCAAGCTCAGGTCCGGATAGGAGGCAAGGTGAGTGTGGACTCAGACTCAGTTGTGTTCTTATGCACAGCCGGCTGTAAAGGTTGGAAACTGATGTCATATTCCAGAGAGCAGCAAGCATAAGAAGGGGCCCCAGGGCTCATCTAGCCAGAGATCTGAAGGGGCTTGTCCCTTACTACAGGTGCTAAGGGCAGAATCAGGATTTAAACCCGTGTCCTCTCACTTGAAAACCAGCCTTCTTTCCTGTGGCCTGTGCAGCAGTGGGGCAGCCTCTGGCTGAGACTCCCTCCCTCTTGTTGCTAAAGGCATAGCCTCTCTTCCTCTGGGCCTGGTTACCCAGGGAAAAGGGACAGTTTTCTTATTATCATCCAATGTAGTAACATATCTAGAAGTCACCTGTTCAAAACATAGCTGGGAAGGTAGAAATAAGCATATGGATTAAGTAGAAACTCCTCTGTTGGGTGTTTCAAGCTCTTCTCAGATTGCCCCTGTGCTATTTCTCATCTCCATCTCTGTGCATTTGCACTGGCTGTGCGTCATGCCTGGCTTGGGGAGTCCCTAGTCTCTTTCAGCAGTCAGCCCAAGCAGGACCTTCTACGTGAAGCCTTCTTCCCGTGGCTGCTCAGGCTCTCCCTGCCCAAACTACCTCGTGTTCATGCACCCTGAGGCGTGACTCTTGGAATGTAATGAGAGTAGGGACTTTTCACTTCTGTCCTTTGTAGCCTTAGGCTTAGCACATTGCCTGGCACTTTATGAGAGAATCAGGGACTCTGTGCTGGGAGGATCCTCAGGGATCATTTAGCAGCTAAAATTGAGCCTTTGTTTTACAGATGAGGAAAATAGGATTCAGAGAAAAGTGACTTAGTCCAGATCATACACCTACCAAGTGTCCGAGCCAAGATGAGGACGTGGGGCAAATCCAGATGGGACAGCTCATCAGCCAGTCTTTTGGCCTTAATTAAGTGCCTACCAGGGCCAGGGTCTCAGTGGGTTAAGGCCTGGGGTGACAAGATACAAGGAATGAAACAGTCCATCCAGACAGTTAAGCTAATGTGCTTTAATCAGGGGGAGCCAGCATTTATTAATTGCTTATCACAGAGGGTTTCAAAGAAAGGCACAGAGACTTTCCTGGCCTTCATGGAGCTCACCCTCTAATGGGGGAGACAGCATGTGTACAACTGTGTCCATATAGGTAGGAGGAAGAGAAAGTCAGAGGGAAAGTGCCAGCAGCTTCTGGGGGCAGAGGGCAGGGGACAGGGGGCAGGGGGAGAGGCTTCTACAGAAAGAAGCTGGGGCTTGGGTTCGGGTTCTGAAGGACCGTGGGAGTCTGAGGAGAGACAATGAGGCAGGCCTGGGAGCCTCAGAAATCATGGTTGTCTGGTTCCCTATCCTGAAGCAGATGACGATGTAGAGAAGGAGAAATCAGAAATGGGCCAATTAGAATGGGTGCATACTAACTAATACTAAACGGAGAGGGGGCTGGTGAGAGCCAGGAAGAAGTCAGGAGAGCTGGAGAAGAATGTTGGGAGCCTCAGATTAAAATGCCGTAGAGTAATTGATGTTTACATAGTAATCCCAGGTACTCAAGAAGAGATTAATTAGGATTTCTGTCCTCTTTTTGAGAAGGATGGAAAGAACTGTCCAGGCTTAAGGCCTGATCCTTTAGGCAGTAAGCATTTATCAAGGGCCTGTTTTGTGCCAGGCCCCAGACAGACAGAAGCCAAGTGTGAACTTGTCCCTACGCTCAAGGAGCTGCCTCTGGCCTAGGTGATTGCAGCTGCCCTGCCCCCCCTACCTTGCCCCTCCGCTGGCCAAGGAAGAGCAAGACCATGAGATTCTCCTACTCAGTCAACGCAAGTGGCTCCCTATTGCCTCGGTACTCCAATCTAAACTTCAAAGTCCTTCCCGACCTGGCACTAGCCTCCATGAACATTACTTCCTCCTGCACTCTGGCATCCAGCCAAGCCGGCCTTCTCTCTGTTCCTCCCATAGGACACACTGGGCCTTTGTATTGACCATCCCTTCTTACCTCAGGCACCTCCCTCTGCATGAAGCCTTTCCTGATCCCCCCAACTGCCATATACATATTTGCATCTATCTACTTTATATTTATGCTGAATATATTTATAGATGACCTTGTTCCTTGTGAGTAGGGATTATTTCACTTTCTTATACTTGTGTTCCTAGCACAAGGCCTGGTGCATGGAAGGGCTTAATGAGTGCTTGTTAGTTGATTGATCCTATCAAAAACAATTATGTGAAGATGCCCAGTGCAATTTCTGGGGAGGGGGGTATTTTTCACAGTCTGCTTTCCTGACTATTGGTTTTTCCATCCTATTTTTTTTTTCATCTATTTTTCTAAGGGCCTTTCCAACACAATGCATTTTAATATTCTGTGTTGTGACTTTCTTTCAGGTTCCTTCCATATCTAACAACTAAGGGATACCCCTTATAATATAATAACAAAAAACAATCTATGGTGGATTTATACTTGAAATATACATGATGTGGTGCAGATGACATATAGATGCTATGGGAAGGAGCCAGGGTCCCCCCCTCAAACTGGAGAGCTGGTTGTTAAATTTTCAGTGTGACTGTGTGTACCCCTCAGAAATCACCAGAGCTACAAATCAGGGCTTGATTTATTGTTTTGTTGATTTCTAGACTTAAGAAAGTGATGGAGAAAATGTTAATAATAATGTCGTATTAAATTGAAAAGTATGTTGCTGGGTGTTAAACATTTGCCAGCACGTCATTGACAGGGAGCCCTTGAAAGGCAGGAAGATAATATGGACAGCCATTTTTATAGTGCCTTAATAGCATATTGGGCCTAGAGTCAGGCACACTCTTCCTCCTGAGGTTAAATTTGAACTCAGAGCCTCTTAACAACTCTCTGAGGCCCTACAACAGTAATTTTTCTGTGGAGCAACTTATGCCTTAATGATGCCAGGTGTGTGAGGGGCCTGCCACCTATAAAGAGAGATCTCTTTATTAACACCAAGACACTTAAAGATGCCTGCTGGTGGTCAGGCCCCTGCCTTTTTAGCAAAAAGAACTTCCCTGCACCCGTCTCCAGTCATCTGCAGGGGAATTCTGCCTTTGGTCTCAAGGTGTAGAGAGACTTTGCTCCAGGGAGCTCTGGGCTTTGGCTGCTCTTAGTTGGATTTGAGTTACATGATTGGTTGTCACCTGTTGTGGTCTAGCGTGGACACTAAACATACATCGCTGTTACAGTAGGGACCTGGAAATCTGTGGTTGCAGCTCAGTCTGTTAAGTTGGGAGCTGTCTAATTTGGATTCCCTTGATGATATGACCCAGTAAGATGTAGACTTTTCATTTGTTACTTATTTGTACTCCAGTTTATTTTACATTGGCCTTTAATGATGGCACTAATGCATGATGACTTCTAAGGTCTCCTATACTAGCCCCTAAACTCTAAAATTCTATGGCATTTTTAAGAAGGGTTTTACATGTAGTGTAAGTATGTAGGTGCTTATGGGACAGGAATGTAGGGGAAAGAATACACTTAAAGTAAGTGGGGAGCAATCTAGGAGTAGGGACCCGTCTTCATGGCTTGCATGGGTGGCAGTTTCTACTGCTGGAGGAACCCCTTACCTCGGTGGAGGTTCAGAGAGGCATTCGAGTAATGACCTTTGAGTCATCTGGCTTCTAGAACTAGCTTATCTAGTTTAAGATAGCATTGGAATGGGAGCAGATGTTGCTTATAATGATTTCAAATTATTGAGTTAACCAAGAGGCACAGATGCTTTTGAAACAGATTAGACAGTTGAGTTCATAACTGAACTCTTGAAAGCAGGCCCCAGCTATTTGTTGTCCAAAGCTTCCTGAGGACCTTCACTAACCATGAGAGTCACCAGCTTCCTTTGTAGGATTCAGTGAGGTGATGTGAGTGTGGGAGTCTGGGACTCTGCTGACTCAGGCTTTTCCCATTGTCTGCTTCTTGTAGGGCACAGCTCGCAGAAAGAAGAAGGTGGTACATAGGACAGCCACAGCAGACGACAAGAAACTTCAGAGTTCTCTCAAAAAATTGGCTGTGAATAATATTGCTGGTATTGAAGAGGTAAGGTCACTAGGCTACAATGTAAAAGGTTGTTTTGACTTTTCAGATGGAAAAAAAAAATCAGCCCAAAGTCCTTGGTCTTTTCCAAGGACTTGGAACTGCTGGGTGTGGAGTCATTTTTCATATAATTAACATTGGTGTGGTTATGTATGGTCACAACAGACTTTTCTGAAGGTTGGCCTCACGTGTGAGTTTAATTGTACTGTGCTAAGACTCTTAAACTAGCATTGGTGAAAATGGCACAATTGTAGATAACTCATGCACTTCATAAAAATATTAAAGCATGGATAAAGACAGTGGAAGATTTTCCCAAATAACAAATTATCACCTTTTCCTTTCCCTCAGGAAGCTATTTCTAGGCCTTCTTGAAGAGAAGAGGCTTCTCAGCTTGATTTGATAGCAGGCAGGGTTTTCCTGAGCCCCTTCACAAGGCCCTGAAATGACCACGCTTGTTCAAATGCACGCACGCACATACACCATGCCACTCTGAGAATCCTTACTCATAGACTCAGTTGGTTAGTTGACCAGCTCTTCAGCTTTAAAGCATAGACTTGATTTGCTTCTCTACACATTTTCTAGAATCTCAAGTCACTGGTGTTCTTTGCTACTTGAAAGCAGATGTTCCCCTGTGGGGTCTGCCTTAATCTGCCTGTCCTTGCCACATCTGTGTTCTCCCAGGCCCTGGAGAAAGTGACCTGTCCTTCACTTGGTGGAATGCTACCCCAGCTGCTTCTTTGAGGCCCTGTGGAACATCATGGCCACAGTGACGATCTCCCTAAGCAAGGCCCACTGGGCCCATCTGGCCTGAGGGTGCTTGTGAGATGGCAGCATCTGTAGAGCTGCCGCCTGGGGAGCCTCCAGCAGTCACACTTGTTCTTGATGTTTGGAATTGGTTCCAATGGGAGCCACAGGTGACTGGCCATTAAGGGACGAGCATTTCCTTAGTTTTTGCTAGGGTTAAAGAAGCTGGCAGAAACTTGAGAATAGAAGAAACCTTCAGATTGGTGTGAAACAAAGAATGTTAGTGTATTTTCTAGACCCTGCTCTGTCAAGTAGATGGAGAAAACCCTTGGAGTGTTAGTGGGGGGTGGGGCAAGGCAGGAAACAGCCACTTGTGCCCACGGCCATGCTACTTTCCCAGGCTTTGGCATCCTCCAAGGCAGCCCTCTTGTCCTCCCCTGGCCCATGTTCCTAGGCTGTGGTTTATGTTTTCCTGTTGGAGGGGTTGAGAAAAAAGCCCCCTGACTCTCACAGGAGCAGTGTTTACCATCCAGAATGTTACTGAGTTGTCCCACATCAGTAGGTCTGCCTTTTTTAATCTTCATAACTTGTGGCAAACTGAGGGTTCTCCTGGTAGCACAGAAGGGAAGGGAGCAAATATTTGTAAAGCAGGTGGGACCTCCTGCACACAAATGGCACTTTGCTGAGCACTTTACAACTGTTATCTCATTTGATTCTCACAACAACCCTGCGAGGCAGTTACTGTTATCATCTTCCATTTTACACTTGAGGAAAGTGAGGCACACAGGTGATAGGCCTTGCCCAGGGTCACACTGCTAGTTCGTTTCTGAGTTAGGATTTTTTCAGGTCTTCTTGACTCCAGGTGCATCTCTTTCCAGTGAACCACCTAGCAGGTACTACTGTTGGAAATACACTTTTTTCCCTGGACTGTGTTAGAGTGATTGCAGATACACACCAGGCTGAATTGGGAGGGTTGGAGGAAGGCAGTGAGGCAGAGTGCCCTGGGGGCTTAGGCCCCGGGTTCCAGTGGCTACGCTCACAGACTCCTAGGCTGCGTTCCCAGACCAGGCCCACCCAGGTGGTGGGGATTCTCTGGGAGGTTTGCCCAGGGCCTGCTGGTCGGTAGTGGCCGTCTCCTTCTGGACTTGGTGAACGCTCTGTGTCCCATCTGTCTCATGCACATATCCTGTGTTCAGGTATGTTTTCATCATCTAGCTTGTTCTCTCATCCGCCTGCAAACTGCAAGCTTCTTGGGCTGTGGCCATCTTGGCTTATCTTGTTTGCCTCATACCCCTATTACCTAGCCTTGTGCTCTGCACACAATAAGTTCTGAGCAGTTGTTTGTTGGGTTAAAACTCACTTACTTGGAACTTGGAGTACATTTCCCCATAGAAACAGTATATAAATCAATGGAAATTCCTAGGCCAATCTAAATTCCAGTTCAGCCCACAATGCGCCCTAAGTGTCCTTCCCGAAAGCCTTCTCTGTGCCTCATCTTGGTGGGTCTTAAGGACTCCTGCAGAAGATGATGCATTCTGGCTGGCCTTGCCACCATTGGAAGGAAACCTGGACCCTACTGCCCCAAAGCCAGCCTAGCCAAGCTCATCACCAGGGCTGGCCTCAGGGTGGAGGACTTTTCAGCTGACTCCATCCAAGACAATGTGCTAAGCTGTGAAGGGTTTGTGTGATCATCTTTGTGGGAGGGCTGGCATTTCTTCCTTGAAGCACTTCAGGGGATTACTGAAGTTAAAGAGTACTTGGCATACTGTGTGGCTCGTGCTGTATGGTCTTCTGATGCTATACCCATTTTTCCCCATGGAAAAAATTATTCATATTTGCAGCACAGCCATGCTGGCACCACCTACTCCCCATTGAAACCCCCTTCCCGTATCCTGGTGAACTACGTAAATGCTCAGTAGGGGCCCCCATGGCCTGGGCCAGAGCTTTCCTTCATCTCTGAGCAGTGGCACCTAGATGAATGACATTCTCCCTCTCTCCAGCCCTTTACCACAAATACTGGCCTCAGGCAAGATGAGAAGTGGGAGGCAGGGATAGCTGGGGGTGAGGAGCACCCGAGAGGAAGGGGGAACCCAAGCCTTGAGGCCTCCAGCTAGCATCTGTTAGTCGCAGATTATGAACTCAGAGATAGAGAAAGGATTTGCTCGTGTGCAAACAGTGTGCAGTTGGAATCCTAAAGTGACACATTAATGCTTGCAGGCACAGATTCAGATTCAACATGGCACCTTGGACACATTTGGTCTGGTCACCTCATTCTACAAAAAAGACAACTGCAGTAAGGAAAACTCTGAAAAATGTCATGGGAGAAGGGGGACAGGGTGGGAATTCTTCCTCCAGCAGCCAATAGGCAGCAGATCAGGAATCCTGTCTGGGGACAGCACGGGTCACCCTGGCTGCCTGAGCCCACCCGGATCTCCTGATCAAGTCATCACATGTGATTTAGGTTAATTAACATGTTTGCCATTGGGATCACATAGATTGTTAATTTATGAATGTGTTCCTTCTGGCTGCTTGGCGTCAGGGCGATGTTATATTAGGACGTAGGGAGAGGAGTCTTTAAGGAGAGAACTTAGAACAGAATGTGTATCCTTTTGACACTTCTCTGGTGTACCATGAAGAGTTCTAGCTTTGGGGGTCCAGAAGACCCGGATTCAAATCCTGCCCCAGATACTTAGTAGCTGTGTGACCTTGGGCAGGTCACTTGGCTTCTGCTTCCGTTTTCTCATCTGTAGAATGAGAGTATTGGACTGGATGACCATTAAGGTCCTTCCAGCTCTAAACTGTTGATTGGCTTTATTTTGGGTGGAGTCGGTGGTGCTGGCACAGCAGAGCTGTAATGCCATAGAGCTTGGAGGAAAAGCTAATAAGCATCCAATAGAATCGTAGGCTTTGGAGATCCTCTCTCAGCGTCGTTTAACATCTAAAATGAATGGGTTCAAGGAGATGGGCCCTCCAATTCAGTGGATGGGATCCTGTGATCTTAGAGGATTGAAGGGGCCTGACCATGGCAATCGTGAGAAAGACCTGGTGGATTTAGTGAACTGCCGCTCAGTCATTGGCTCTGTTGGAGGGTGGGGGCCCTTGAGCACACAGTGTGTCCACAGTGAAGGCTCTGCTCTGCCCTCCCCTAGTGAATCAGTGAACTTTTATTAAGAACCTACTCTGTGCCTATCACTGGGCCAGGCACTAGGGATACAAAGACCAAAATGAATTAAATCATCCAAAGACTTCCTTGATGTACTTCATTATATAGACACATAAAAGGAGGTACCAAACAAGTCTAAGGTTGTGTTTTGGGGAAAGGTAACAGAAAAGGGAATCAGGAAAGGCTTCTTATAGAACATGGCACTTGGATGGGGTTTGAAAGAAGCCAGGGGATGTAAGGTGGGGAGGCAGAGGTGGTGGCTCTGGGTGGTAAGAAGGGGCTGGAGAATAGATATGGAGATAGAAGCTACCGTCTTTGGTGGCTGGTTGGATACTTGGATTAGAGGAGGCTGTGTGTGGATTAGAGGGGCTTGGGTGCACTCAATGGGATTTGGCTTGGGAGGAATGCTAATGATTCTGTTTGAGAGCCCCACTAGGTAGCTGATGAAGCGTTTATGCAGAAACAGGGCAGGACTGGCGGTGAGCCTGCAACTTTCCTGCTCTCATTGGAGGTTCACTGGCCTTCTCCCCCATGTGGTGATCCCCCTCTGAAGTATGGAAAGAGTTGCAGCTTTAGGAGTCTGCAACCCATGTGCTATTAGTATAATTACTTTTAGAAAAGGTGGTGAGACCCTTGTGAACCTTCTGTGTATCTTGTGTTCAAACAGGTGAACATGATTAAAGATGATGGGACGGTTATTCATTTCAACAACCCCAAAGTCCAGGCTTCCCTCTCCGCCAACACCTTTGCAATCACTGGCCATGCAGAAGCAAAGCCAATCACAGAAATGCTTCCTGGAATATTAAGCCAGCTTGGAGCTGACAGCTTAACGAGTCTTAGGAAGTTAGCTGAACAGTTCCCCAGGCAAGGTAGGTATTTGAATTCAGTGCCTTCTACCTCTTAACCAGCACTGCCACGTGCACCCCACAGCCCCCAGGTAAAGGCATTTTACTTTGTGCCTTTATGGGAAACAATCTCTGTTAGTTAGAAAGGATCTGTTGATGATACAGCATGCACAGAGCAGAGGAATTTTATTGACTGAGAGTAACACTCTCAGAGAGCGAGTAGAAGTCAGGTAAAAGCTGTGGAGGGGTGGTCGCCCTCAGGTTCTAGGATTGGTTGTTCTCCGCATGAGCTTTTCCTCTAGGCTCTTGTTGGTGGGACTGTTGCGGGGGGGGGGGGGTCCTTGTTCTCTAACCTCATCTGATTGATTGAATTTGGGGGTAAACTTGAAACCTGCCTCACTTGGCTCTGCCAAGAAGGTGTCACCAGTCCTAAAGTCATCGACCTGTAGCTGGCAGTGACCTCCGAAGATTATCTGGTCCAGTTCCGTTACTTGACAGATGAGGAAACAAAGGCAGCATTTGAACTGATCTATGTCTGATTTAGGGTGAAAGCTCTCTTGATGACCTGCAGTGATCATAATGACAGTATTTCCTTTTCCTGTTCAGATTGCTGTAAAGTTTCAGATTCGTTTAGACAAGGAGGATGGGACTATGGAAGAGAGAGTTTTAGGTTTTTTTGTAAACACGTATACTTGTGGCTTCATTGTTGTAAAAATTCTTTTCAGTGTTGGATAGCAAAACACCCAAGCCTGAAGACATTGATGAAGAGGATGACGATGTGCCAGGTAGGTCTAAAGACTGCTCCCGTTTCTTTGTCGGTGTTTGTTCCTTCAGCTTGGTTGCTGTGTTTGACTCCTGCCAACTGGGCTGGCCTTCCTGAGGCTTCCTCTGCTCCTTCTGCACACCATGGGTGCGATGCTTCCCTTGGGGCCAGCTCAGGAGAGGCCTACCGAGCCCAGTAACGGATGGATTGGTTGTCTGTCCTCAGAGGCCTAAAATGGTGAACGTTGGAGGTGTCCACCAACTGATGAGATTTCAGCCCCGCTGATTCATGAGAGGTTGTCAGTCTGTCCACAGGAAAAGTATCCATCCACACTAATAGAACTCTAGCCATTGAGGTTTAATAGGAAAAATGAAGTGTTCTTTGATGTTTTGTCCTAGAAAACTTCATTCAAAGAAATATCCAAACACACACAGCCCCACATTTCACATACAGAACTCCAAGCCAGAGATGGCCTTTTGAAGCTGTGCTGGCTGCCTACATTGGCTCTGACAATAGCTGGCATTCTTGCAGGGAATTACACCTCCTGTAGAAACAGGCAAGTTGGACTGGTTGGTGTGTGCATCCCATCTTCCCTGCCCACCTCCCGGAGTAGGGTCAGGCTCAGGCAGGGAGGGCTGGGTTTCTGGTGAGAGGCCCAGCTGTTCAATGTTGCTGTAGCTGTCACCGTGGCAGCAGAGGAGAAGAAACCTCAGGCCGTTGACAGTTCGTGTCCTCTGCTTTTCTTCAGATCTCGTAGAAAATTTTGACGAAGCATCAAAGAATGAAGCAAACTAGAGTCTGAGAATTCTCGGTGGCCGGCATGGACTGGGTTGGAGAAAGGAGCGGGTGGCTACAGAGCTGGACAGCGGCAGAGAGCGTCGCCTGTTAATAGTTCAGTAATATAAATATTTTGTATATTAATGATGCTGTTTGTTCAGCATTTTTCTGTCAATTGATTTTGCATTTTGCACTTCTCCCAGGATCTCCTCTTTTGGTCAAAATACGAAGTATTGGTGCAGCTTTGAGGGTTTTTGTGTGTTTGAGAGTGTGTTGTGTGTGGGTGTATGCGTGTGGGTGTGTGTGTACAGTGGAGAGCCAATTGGATAACAGTGCTATTGATCCTCCCCCAGCCCCCAGTAGAAAATAAAACAGATCTTTAAGTCTCTTCCTTTTTATCTTTGCCCAGTAGTGCACAGAAATAGTGAAAAGTGAGTGTCTTCTCTATAGTTCCAGGACTCAAGACATCAGACCATTCAGGACTGGGTTTCAGTTTGCTGTGTTAACTGTTGTGTTTGCAGATACTTGGCTGTGTTTAGAGTGTCTTTCTGCGAGCTGGGGGACGGGCTTCCTTCGACGGCACGGGCTGGGGGACACCCTTGGTCTTGCCGCCTTTGACTCCATGGTTAGACCCAGAAGAGTTTCTCTTTCCCTGCCTTTCTTCCTAGATGTTTCCTTGCCCCCTTTTGTCTTAAAATGGTTTGATCAGCCTTTGTTAGTGTTCCTCGTCACCTCATTTAGACCAAGAAGGATGTTCTCCATTTAGGGTTTTGTGAACAGCCAGACCCCTCTCCTCGTAAAGCCTTGCTTCTCTTGTCCTGGGGAACAGCAGGCCCGCTCTTGACCTTCCATTTGCCATGGATTGTGGCAGGCAGTGGATTGAAATCCAGGGGAGCTGGCAGGAGCTGGCATGTCTTTGCCGAGACATTTGACATCCTAACAGTCCTCGCTATTGTGAAGGACAGAGGCAGCTCTCTTTCCAGCAAGTTTGGAACTGGCAGCCTTCTCTTGAATTGAAAGCAAATGGGGCCTAGAGCCTTCCCCTGTGTCCACTGGCATGTTTATGGGATGATGATGCTGGCTCGGAAAGGGTTTCTTTGACCTGCTTCCCTGCTCTTGGCCTCGAAACCTACTTCTGAGTTGGATGGCCCTGTTGTTGTAGCTCCTGGTCCCTGCCGACATGTGTGCATAGAATGAAGCAGTGTTTAGTGGGCTTGCTGGCCCCAGGCAGCGTGCCTGGACCTCCTCCTTCCGAAGGCTCAGGGGTGCTCCTTCACCAGAATTGCCCTCCCAGCCTTGGAGGAAAGCCTGGCATCGTGACCAATCTGAGCTTCGTTGGAGCAGGCTGAGGGGGAGAGTGAGCATCTGCTAGGGCCTCTCTGACCATCATCCAAACCGTCCGTGGCTTCCCTTCGTGGCGTAACGACTCTGAACCTGCATAGCTTTGGAGACCAAGAATACACCGGAGGTCTGTAGACGACACCAGCGGGGAGAGAGAAAGCAGGAGAGCTCTTGTGGTTTGTCGTCCAAATTCCTCCGTGGATTTTATAGACTCGTTCATTTTCCTGTTATGTTTTATATGATATATGGACTTAACTATAAAATAAAATAACTGTGCAAAAGAAGGGCCTCCATCTTGTGCATCTGTGGCGTTGGCTTCAGGGTGCTGCCTCCCTCCTGCTTCTGCCCACCTCATTCTTTTTCCCTTTGTTGTCATCATCATCATAAGCCTTTTCTGTGGAGCTTTAAGGTTTGTTGAGGGCTTAACACATAGGATCTCATTTTATCCTCCACAATCCTGGGAGAAAGATGCCTTTATTATACCCATTTTATAAATGAGCCTGAGGCAGACAGAGGTTAAGTGACTTGCCCAGGGTCACACAGCTAACAAAGGCACTGAGGCTGGGTTTGAATTCAGATCCTCCTGACTCCAGGCCCAGCCCTCTGTCCATTGTGCCACCTAGCTGTCTGCAAAAATGGAATTTCAGTGGCACTTTACGGCTATATTCTCTCACTTCAGGCGTGCTCCCCTGCCTTGTTTAAGGGGTGTCACCATTTTCCTTTTGTTTCCCGCTTGATGCTGTGGGAGGTTGTGCCCTACACCCCCCCCCCCCCCCCGGTGCTGCCCGGGAGGGGCAGAACTCGAAACCCTTTTGTGGAATGACACAAATTTTGTGGGTTGGTGCCGGGTCCTCATGGGATTGACCACGTGGGAGACTGACTGCCCCAGTTCCTGGTTACTAAACAAGTAGGTGTAGGTTTCCTGATTCTTAGCCCTATTCATTTCTCTTGTCTGGTCCTGAATCGCTATTGTGCCCCTCGGCATTCATTGATCTGTGTTTGGGAATCCCTGAACAAGGGGATGGAGTCTCCCCTGACATTCACATGATCTTTTTTCCTCCTGTAAGTCACAATTTTAAAACAGCTACTGACTACTTTGCTTTGTTGCTGAATAACTAGAACTTGTAGGTATGCCTTTTTTTTTTTTAATGTTTCACATTTTTTAGGCTCTTTACACATGAGCTGCTGTGTCTCTCACTGCCATTAGGTGTGGAGACCCACATTTGAGGTTTAGATTTGGAAAATGATGATGTGACCAGATGTTGATTTTAATGTCATTATACTTTATTAATAGAGTGTAACCAAGTTTTATTTTCTACCCAGAACTCTTAGCTCTCTCTGAGGTACAAATTACTAAGAGATGAGGTAGCTAAGTCACCTCAATGCCAAAAAGGGAAGGTTGAATTGAAATGTCACTGACTTTCTAGAAACTCCTCAGTGACAAGTGGAAAGCTGCGTCCCTTATCCCAGGGATCCTAGGCACTGCAATGATCACCTTCCAGGGCAGACCTAGAGGGCCATATGCAGTGACCCTTAGGTATGGCAGAGGATGCTGAAATTATAACCCTTCCAATCATCCGAGTGGTCACTGGCACCTTGGTGCTGACACCTCACACTGTTCACCTTGCCATGGGGGTGATTTAGAAAATAAATTTACGTGGTATTCATTGTCCTATTTTTATAGCTCATTACCGCTTTGCTAATGAGATTCAAATATTTGCTTTCATTTGAGACAAAATGTTTAATGCCATCCAAGTAAAGTGGATGTTCCTTGGCCATGGAATTACAATGCGCGCTGACCTGTTGTGCTTTAAAATATGCATTAAATAAGTACTTGGCGTGTATTTTCTCATTTGAGGCCCATAACAACTCTGGGAAGTAAGTACTATTTCTATTTTCAGATGAGGGAACTGAGGCTCAGAGCTGTAATAACTTACCAGTGTTGACACAGCTAGTGAATGTCAAGGGCAATAGTTAAATTCAGGATTCCCTGACTTTTCCTGTAGTAAAGTCCAATCTTGGCGACACTATCTCCGGTGACGGGGAGCTCACTACCTGATAACTTCAGCAGCCCATTCTGTCTGAGGACACCTCTAACCCCCTTATGGAAGCCTGGCTTGGTCACTCAGTGACTGCTAGCCCTCATTTCTCTCCTGCTTTGGCCTCTGGAGCATGACAAGCATTGTGATAGGAGTCCTTCAGAGGCTTAGCCACAGCTCTCACGCCCCCATCAATCTGCTTCACTGTAAGCATCCTGATTACCTTGGCCAGTCTTACGGCTTGGTGGCCATGCCCCTCCATTCTTGGCTCCCCGGCTGCACTGCAGCTGGTCAGCGTGCTTCCCAGCATGTAACCACAGACACAGCTGTACTGTGAGAACCGGGCTGGTACCCTGGCTCTTTCTGAACAGCCCTTGAATCACCTCCGTCATGAGTAAACAAGTTAGTGTCCAGGTAGAGACCTAGTAGTGAGATTATTACCGTGGGATCGAGCCAGCTTTCTTGAGAAGTGCTGTAAAGGGAGTATGCCGGGGCAAGTGCCCCCAAGGTGGGCAGAGAAGAATGCTTTTCTTGGAAAAGAGCAATACCCAGCTGAAAAGAGAAGGCCAAAAACCCAGGCTTGCATCCCAGCTCGAGCCATGTACTAGCGGTGTGACCTGGGACAAGTCACTCAGCCCCGGTTTCCTCCTCAAAATGAAGGAGTTACAGTAGGAATTGGTCTTTGAAGGCCCTGCCAACTTTAAAATCCCATGTTTCTATAAAAGCAAGTTTCAAAGTGTTGAGGGGAGGCTTCAGAGGGACCTTCATGATTCAGCAGTGGCATGCCAAGTAGCTATTGTGTGTGCACATATTATGCCAAGTAGGTGTTGACATGAGATAAGGTGGAGGACCCTGTCGTCAGGGGAGCCTCTGGTCTAGCAGAGAGCTATAAGACATGTGGGAAATGAGATACGTCTACAATAGGAGATAAATGCTAAGTGAGGTAGGCCTCGAAGTGTCACCAACTAGAGGGGCATGGAAGGCGTCTTGGAAAAAGATGTGAAAGGGTCAATTGAGTATTTTTTTATTTTTTTATTTTATGCTTTTTTTGGTGAAGCAATCGGGGTTAAGTGACTTGCCCAGGGTCACACAGCTAGTAAGTGTCATGTGTCTGAGGCTGGATTTGAACTCAGGTCCTCCTGACTCCAAGGCTGGAGGTTATCCACTGCACCACCTGGCTGCCCCACAAGTATTTATTAAATGCCCTCTTTGTGTTAAGCACAGGGCATGAAAATAGACAAACCCTACAAGCTCCCATTTACTGGGGAGACATATATAAGTAGCTAGCATTTCTATATAAGGTTTGCAAAGCACTTTTCATGTGTTATCTCCTCTGTGAGGTAGATGCAATTATTATCCCCATGTTACAGATGAGAAAACTGAGTTAGTGGTTAGAGTGATTTGCCCAAGGTCACAGCGTCTGAGGCAAGATTTGAACTCAGGTCTTAACTGACTCCCAAATCCAGCCCTTTATGCACTGTATGAGCCAGCTGCCATAATAAAGAGAATAAATAAAATCAGTTAAATACTAGGGATTTGGGGGAGCAGAGGGCACTAGAATGCTTCAGCTGCGTCGTTGAGAAAGAGGAGTTCTGTGAGGAAGGGAGCGCTCGTCAGGTATGAGAGACGGCCACTGCAAAGGTAGACCAGAGATAGAATTGAAAGGAGCAGTGTTGTAAGGAACTTTGGGCTGTGTCACAGCACAGATGGGATTGTAATGTCCAGTGAGGCCATAAAGAGGTTGGGGCCAGGTTGCAAAGGGCTTTACAAATTAAACGGAGGAGTTTATGTTTTATCCTAGAGGCTATAGGAAATCTGGAGTTGAGTGACTAGGGAAGTCACATGGGCAGACCTGCCTTTAAGGAAAATTACTCTGGCAGCCAGGTATAGGATGGTCTGGAGTGGGGAAAACAAGGCAGGGAGGCCAATGGGGAGGCTGATGTGATAATCGTGTGTAAGGCGATGAGGGTCTGTATGGGGGGTGGGGGTAACAAAGAGGGGGCAGAAG